CACATGGGAGTCCAGCGACATAGCCATTACGCTAACTGCTGGTCCCAAAATTCACCAATTTTAAGAGTACAATTAGATGCACTGTAACAAATGTTTATAATTGTATAACCGCCACAGGATTATAGTATAAAATATATGTGAGTGCACAATATCTTCTGTATATCAAACCAAAAACCAATTTAAGGAAACCAATTCAGGTCATCTAACGAATAATTCCCATTTAAATGTTCAGTACAGGGGTCGGCAGGTGACATGGTGGTTAAGGGTGCTGGACTCCCACATGGCTGACCGCGGTTCAAGTCCCAGACTTGGTGGCTTACTTTCTCACTCCTCACATCCCCTACTCTGTCCCGCTCTGGTCAAATTAAATAAATAAATAAAACAAAGTTAAATACATGGTTCAAAAAAATATGTGTATATATAGGGAACCAGCAGTTAGCATAATGGCTATGTCGCTGGACTCCCACGTAGTCGACCGCGGTTCGTGTCCCGGACCCGGTGGCTTAAAACTCACGCCGGGCACATGTGCGTGCGTGCCCAAGATCCCGAGAGGAGAATGGAGGAGAAGGGATTGCGGCGTGACCATCCCCCCTGGGGGGTGATTTCTCGCTTTCTGTCTCTATGTCTCTCTCTGTCTGTCTGGCGAGCGCACGCGCCCTACAGTGAAAATCTCTCAAAAAAAAAAAAATATGTGTATATATAAAGAGAAAGTGAAAGCAAACTTGACGAACTGCTAACAGTTAATATAGATGAAAGGCATTTGGGTATACTTATATATTCTGTCAACATTTCTATAAGTTAACATTTTTCTAAAGAAAGTTCTGAGAAAGTTGGAGAGGAAATGCACTCAAATATAAATGACAGATATACTTGGGTAGCTGAATGGGTACACTCATTTTTTTTTCCTTTCTACCTGTCCTTGTTTTCAAATATTTCTTCAGATTTTTCTTCAATAAGTTTATACTGATTTTATAATTTTTAGAAAAGAAGGGGTCATAGCCTAGTGGTTAAAGAAGCCAGATACCTCATGGCCAACCTAGTTCAAATTCTGTCCCCAGCAAAAAATTGAGGAGAAATTATTGTATGACCATGCCCCATTGCAGGTTGTCCCTCTGTCCCCCTTCTCCCTCTCCTCTCAGTGAGCACACATACCCTCTTGGCAATTAAAAAACAGTTTATTTACAAAATAACAGAGAAGGAATTTTTACTTCCAAAATTGATCGCAGATTTATTCAGTAGTAAGGCTTAAAGATAAGTTTCTATCAGCAATGCATTGAAGGAAAAAAATTCAATGAACTGCAGTGACACATGTTTTCTTGTAAAGAGAGTAGCTTTTTAGAAGTATGCTAGTTTTTTAATCACTACTCGGTCTTTTGGCTAAGATCAAGTGTAGAAGTACACCATTTTAATATATACCCTTTCTATAAGCCAATGCAGAAATATACCTCTTTTACCTATCTTTGAGCTAATTGTGATGCAAATTATTTCTAATTATTTTGGAACAGGTTATGGACTTAAATGATGATAGTTAGAATCTAGATAGGAAAAAGAGAGAGGTTCTTGTCTAATAGAAATGGCAGGGGCAAAGCTCGGAGAAGAAAAAGAGTATAATGTATTTTGGACCCTTAGAAGAAATTAGCAGTGTGGAAAGTTCATGATGGTAAGCATGGGTTAGGTGAGTGAGGCCTTATTACAGAGGTTTAAATGCCAGAGGGGAGAAAAAAAGAGTTTCACCTTTACCCAGTAGACAGTAGAAAACTATTAACATGTTTTTGTGTATTAATGTGATTTTAAGAAAGCATGTTTTATCATTTGGCACAGATAATAAACACAATTAGTCATTACCTGCACAAGATTTAAAATATATGGCTCTGTATAAAGTCAACTCAAAATATCTCAAAATATCTCTTTTTCTGAATATGTTCTTTCTCATTTTCTCACCTTCTACTTTTTTCTAGGTTTGGTAACAAAGAAGAATACATGGCATTCATGAATGATTTTTTAGAACATGAATGGGGTGGAATGAAACGCTTTCTTTTGGAGATCTCTAATCCAGATACCATCTCAAACACCCCAGGTTTCGATGGTTACATAGATCTGGGCCGAGAACTTTCAGTTCTGCATTCCTTACTGTGGGAAGTAGTTTCCCAGCTTGATAAGGTAAAGTAGGCTGGAGGGTCATGGGAGAGTGCAGACAGAGAACTTTAATGTACCCGAATTCTCGAGAGTCTCCACAGAGTGGTAGCATTCACCATTTCTGCTTGTTGAATGTTACCTTTTGCTCTAGAAGTCTAGGAATAAATTATTATCACTTCTCAGTAAAATACATGATCTATAACCTTGAAGTTCTAGAAAGCCATGAAATTATTTCTATGTACTTTTTAAATAATTACCTGAACTAATGGAGTATATTTTTCAAAATGCATATATGTATATATATAATAATATCATCAACAGTAACTTTGCTAGGCCCTTACAGCACTGAACTTTAACTGCCACTTATCATGGTTAAAAAGGCCTGAGAAGACCCTCGTGTCTCTGAATATCTGGGAACAGGGTGGATTTGGCCGTGGTTATTTGGATCACCTCTTATTCCTTTAGTCCTAAAAAATCTCTCCTACCCTTAAGTTTTATTAATCAGAACATCCTTTGATGACTCAGAAAAAAAAAATCTCTATCATCAGCCTATAAATTTACTACTTTACTGGCCCATGCATTGGATATTCACAATTTTCTAACTCTTGTGTTTGAGAATCTTAAAGGTCCATTTATTATAACAAATTATTTCCCATCCTCATATATAATGATACGTCTTCAAAATAATAATATATCTTCCAGTTAGAAAATCCCCTCATATTAAAGTGTAGGGCTCCAAACTGCCATCTGACTTTATATCCCTAGAATTATCTCCTTATCCTCTATAGACCTGAGAAAACAGTGTTTGTTTTTTTTTTTAAATTTTATTGCAAAGTTGTTTGTTGTGAGTCGTTCTGGACCAGAAAACAGAGATGTGTAGAAATACATACAAATTATGTGCAGATAAAGATAAAAATAAACTTTTAAAATATTTATTTATATATATATGTATGTGTATGCATATATGTATATATATATAATATATATATATAGTGTGTGTATATATATACTATATATACTATACATATTTAGTACATATATGAAAACTTGCCTAGAAACTAATATCAAATATTATTCAGCCATATTCAAATATAAAAGGATAACATGAAACTTCATAGTAATTTCTAACCAAGTACAGATGTACGAAAATACTGAGTTTATCATGTCTAAGTAACTTTAGAGAATTTGATAAAATTATTAGTGATTAGAGTCCCATGAAATTTGAAAATCCTGATGTTATCTTTCTCTACAAATATGAATTAGGAATACAAAAGGAAATAATACAAAAAATAATTATCATTTTGAATCCTTTATTTTCTGACTTTAAGAATTTTATTATATTAATAAGCAAATGTATATACTATGCTAATTTCTTCTTTCTGAAATTTTAAAAAAGGAATAGATTTTGTGATAATCTAATAGGCTTTGGCTAGGTGTATCACAATAATTCTTTATTGATGTTTTTGTTTGCTACAGGTTTTGTTTGACTACCTTATTATAAATATGTGTGGTGGCATTTTAGCATAAAAGACAAAGTTATTTTCCGTGGTGAGGATTTGTTTGTTTTCCTCCACCTTTCTATTATCCATATAACTGCTGCACCAATAAAATTTGGAGGAAAATAAAACCTATTAACAAAAACCACTTTCTGAGAAAACATTAGTGGTAGTATGCGCTCCCCTGTTTAAACCGTTTGTAAAACAACAAATTGTTTCTTATTCTCAAGAATCCCTTCCTCACTTTTAGAAATGGTAGCTAGATTGTAAGTTGCAGCTATTCAGGAAGCTAAATTCCTCTAATGTGAGTCTAGCTCGTTTGAGTACAGTAGTAGAGACTATTGATTGTTGAAATGACAGCTATCAGAAGGCAGCCATGTAAAGCTACTGAACAGTCGAGGGATCCCTTCTGACCCCATAAGAATAAGAATTCCCTAAAGAACAAAATGATTGCTATCGATAAAGGAAGTACTAAAAAGTTATTCTTTGTAATTAACTGCATCCATCCGTAAGATGCAGTCATCTTATCTACCTTACTCAGGGTCATGGTCTTTTTAACAGGCTTTGCTGTGTAAACACACTTTCTCCTTTGTAGTCTCTGTTTGGTCCTGGGAATCAGAAGTATATCTAGATAAATCCTAAGGAGAGTTTTCATAATTTTGCTATTCAAAAAAAAAATCTTTTTTCCTATGGAAACTTAGTTCACAATGGGTCAGGGTTCCTAAGGTTGTCTGGGATAGTGGATGGCAGTATCCACTGTGTGCCCTGCAGTGCTCTGTATCCCTGCATGCCGTACCCTCTTGTATGTTGGCATGCATTTCTTTTCTGATATGATCCTTTATCTTTGGAATTTTCATCACACTAGTCGATCCTCTGGTCTTGAAGTTCCTTCCTTTTGGTTAGAAGGTGTTTGGTTCTTCCCTTCCCCTCCCCAGCCTGGATCCCCCTCCCAAAGATTTTGTATGCTTTGCATGCCGTTTTAGTTGGAATGGCAATAGTTTGGTTGTTTTGAGCATGTTTTAAAATTTTTATTTGCATAACCCTAATTTCTATTTCCTTTCTTTTCTCAATGTCTGCTGCACCTTGTTTCGCCTCCTCCATTCATCTCGACGCCATGGTTCCGCTGCTCCATAACAATGCATTATGAACCTGCCACTCCCATATGCACCTACCCATCCCTCCAACCTACACCCCTCCATCAATGGGCATCGTTGTCCCAAAAACAATCTGTGGTGGATGTCACAATGCTTATTATCCAATTAGGGTGAAAATTCCTTCCTACAGGCAACCGTGGCAAAATTGGGGCCTCTCCCCCGTGTTCTTGCTGATATTACCAAGTCTCTGACTAATCCTACGCCAATACAACAGCAACTGAGACGCTTCACTGAGCATAACTCCAGTCCAAATGTCAGTGGAAGTCTCTCCTCTGGACTGCAGAAAATATTTGAAGACCCCATTGACAGGTATGAAAGAGATGGCTTAAATTATGATCTCAGAGAGAGAGAACATTTAACTTTGACAGAAATCTATTTAACTCATTTGCCAAATTTACAACTTTAAAGTCAATGAGCAATTGAAAAGAATCTTCTGACCTGAGATAAATCCAATTGTTTGTCATAATAATGCACAAGACCTAAAATAACTTAATTTCTAGAATGATATGGTTATATTCAGCTATTGCATAAAAAAAATCTATGTCCTACTTAATGGAAGACTACAAAAATTATGTGAAATTGTGAAATTGATGTTTTCATATATTGCAGCACTTGAAACTCTAGATACTCTCAGTTAAAACCATTTTATAGCTTGCTGTGTCAGCTGGACAGGTGGATCCTATATTTTATTTATGTTTTTCCTAAATACTTAGGTTTTGTTTTCTGGATTGACAAGATTTGTGCTTTTAGAAGAGACCTTTTGATTGTGTACTCAGAGCTTCTCTTGAAGATTTAGACAGAACTAATTAAATAAGAATTGGAATATTTTGGGAGGGTTTAAAACCAAGCTAGGGTACCAGCAGGTGGTGTGATGGTTAAGGCTCTGGGTCCTACACAGCCAACTCCTTGGTTTAAGTCCCAGACCTTAAAAAACATGCTAGGTATGTGTGCATGCATGCCCAGAATCCTAAGAGGAGAATGGAATAGAAGGGATAGCTGCATGGCCACCCCGTAAGGGGTGATTTCTCACTTTTCTTTCCCTCTGGAAAGTGCATGCACCCTTTAGCAAAACTTAAAAACAAAAATAATAAAGCTAGGAAATTATTGAAATTCTAGTAAGATCTGAAAACATTGATGGGGTGAGATGCACAGTGTTACTCGCCACATATGAGGGAATACTAACAATGCTGGATTTTATTCTAAGAATTGTAATGATGAAGTCTTGAGTTTTTAAAGAAATGTAAGCATCCACATTGGGCCTGTGAACCTTCAGAAGAGTTCATATGCTTGAATTGATGGATATTAACTATGTTGAATTTGCCTCACAAGTAACTAAGGGCCATTCCTTTCCCACAGTGATTTGCATAAGCTAAAATCTCCAAGCCAGGACAACACAGACAGCTATTTCCGGGGGAAAACATTATTGCTGGTTCAGCAAGCCTCCTCCCAGAGCATGACTTATTCTGAAAAGGATGAAAAGGAAAGTAGCCTTCCCAATGGTCGGAGCATCTCCCTCATGGACCTTCAGGACACTCATGCTGCCCACGTGGAGCATGCCTCTGTCGTGCTGGACGTGCCTCTGCGCCTGACCGGAAGCCAGCTCTCCATAACCCAGGTGGCCAGCATCAAACAACTACGGGAAACCCAGAGCACACCCCAGAGTGCACCACAAGTGAGAAGGCCCCTGCATCCTGCCTTGAACCAGCCAGGCAATCTCCAACCCTTGTCATTCCAGAACCCCGTCTATCACCTCAATAATCCAATTCCAGCAATGCCAAAGGCCTCTGTGGATTCCAGTTTGGAGAACCTAAGCACTGCCAGTTCCAGAAGCCAAAGTAACAGTGAAGATTTCAAACTCAGCGGACCCAGCAATAGCAGCATGGAGGACTTCACCAAACGTAGCACTCAGAGTGAGGACTTCTCCAGGCGGCACACAGTGCCAGACCGACACATACCTCTCGCTCTGCCACGACAGAATAGTACTGGGCAGGCCCAGATCCGAAAGATGGACCCTACTGGGTTAGGTGCCCGAGCCAAAGCCCCGCCATCCCTGCCACACAGTGCTTCCTTGCGCAGTACCGGGAGCATGTCAGTGGCATCGGCAGCCCTGGTGGCTGAACCAGTGCAGAATGGGAGCCGATCCCGGCAGCAGTCTTCTTCCTCCAGAGAAAGCCCTGTTCCCAAAGTGAGAGCAATCCAGAGACAACAGACACAGCAGGTAGGCATGAGTGCCAGTGGGGCTGGCTTCTACTTGCTCTGGCTATTGCCCTAGTTCTTCACATATAAATCACTGTGAGGCCAGGTGGTAACATAGTGGTAAACACAACTGGACCCATGCACGAACAGTCCTGGGTTCACATCCCAGGACCTCCCTGGCATGCTGGACATGTGTGTGTGACCTACACAGGTGGAAACTGGGGATCCTAGTGTGAAGATCCTTTGGGGAGTGTCCCACTATCTATCCGTCTCTCTCTCTCTCTCAGGTAGAAATAAATAAATTAAAAAAAAAAAAAAAACCAACTAGAACTCTTTAACCAGCTGCAGTAGCAAGGCACTCCATGACACTGAATCTACAGGGAAGGTCCTGGGTTCACATCCTGAAATCTCTCTATACACATCAGGGCACACTCACACAATTGCCTGTGGTCCTGGCTGGCTAAGGCTGGAGATGTAGCATGGCATGAAGACCTTATTGGAGGTTTCTCTCTCTGTCTCCCTCTCTCATGGAAGAAATAAAAAAGTAAACTTTTTCAAAAATAATAAATCATTAAGAAATCCAATTGCTAACAAAGTTTCCACTTAAAAATATTTTCCTTGCAACTTTTAAATGGAAAGAGGAAGTCAAAAGTTTGGGAGGCTTCTAGCCAGGTGAGACAGCAAAATGCGATTTGACTCATTACCCTTAGGAGTCTTTCTAACAAACACTCAGGGGCCCTTCCATCTCTTCAGGCAGCAGAGCTGTTGTTTCAGTTTGCACTTATGACAGATTTATGATGTTGAATGAATGTATTTAGACACTTATACTATCAAATCTATAGGCCAGTCACTCTACTATATTTGGGGAATTAATGATTAATTTTTTTTCTTAAACCTTCAGAATAAAGTTGTGTATTCAGAGGTGAGAGTTAAAGTAACTGCTCCCCACTCCATTCCTCAGCTCCCTCTGGAAATACCAGATCCCATGAGCCTTTTCCTGGAAATAGCTAGAAAAATAAACAACTGAACACCTGTAGGGGCAAGCTAAAGGAGAGGGTAAAAAGACAGAAACACAGGTGGTTGACAAGTATTCTACGCCTTTGCAAATCCCTTGTATTCCTATTTGCATGGAGCTAGTGTGACACCAACTTTAATGCAAGATTTCCAAACTTTAAAACTTTTTTACAAGTGAAAAGGTTTGCTGAGAATTTAATCATTCCTTCCTTATATATCACATTTTGAGGCAACACTACATAGTTTGCCCTTTGAAATGAACTAATAACTCTGGGAGTATATACATAGACATCTAAAAGATTTTTCTAAAAAGCTTTGTAGTCATTGAATTTTTCTAAAACCTAAATATAATTTGTAAGTACTGGGAAGCATTATGATTAAAAGAGTTTTATTATGAACCCTTTTATGCAGCAAACTAACTAGGCAGGGAGGCTGCAGTAAATCCCAGAGCTTCTCTGTAGTGTATTTGCATTTTTACAGGTAGGTGTATACTGCTTCCTCCTCTCCTCTACTGATTGAAGGCCACTGCCACTAATTTGATACTTACTGTTTTTTAGCAATTGGAACATTTACAGATCCTTTAGATACAGAAGTAAAAGAAGGGATGAAAAGCATGGCTAGAGTACTTTTCTGGAAGCAGACTTCCTGGGGAGAACAGCCTAGGTGGTCATTTTTCCTGAGGAAAAGGTTTTTTTTCAGCATTTAGTTGTTTTTATTTAATTGTGTTTCCCAAAATTTCGCCAATTTATTTGATTTAATAAGCATTTTTCATTTAAAGGAAAAATGTATACTCTATGTGTGTGTATCTTTTATGTATGTTTTGTATCTTTTATGTAGAAATTGTATATATGGATGTATGTGTTTTTGGAGACTGTCAGGCATTCACAACTTAGTATAAATTTTTTCCTCGCAGTTGCTTTTGTTCCAGCTTCTAGTTGATACCAACTTTCAGAAAATTAAAGTGTTACTGGAAAGAGAAAGGAAAGTTCAGCAAAGCTAGAGATAGCATACCTTGTGGAAGCAGAGTCACCTGAAGCCTGGGCAGCACAAGGACACGGAGGGGGTATTTAGGCAGCGTAGAAGAGCATTGGCTGGGAGGGAGGTACAGGACAGGGCCAGGGCCCTCTACCTGCTTCCCAAAGTCTGACCCAGAACAGAAAAGGAAAATTAGGAATTTTTTAAAAATTTCTGCTTACCCATACCTCCTGTGCCATGTAGCCTTCAGTTCCAAAAGCCCATGACTCAGCTAATCATTTATAAAGATTATAAATTAAACAGCTTTTTGTGGCTCATCGGGAGCCAGCTGTCATTTATAACACTTTCCAGTGGAATCATATAACTCCTGTCACATAAACACATAATACATGTTTCTGTGAGTGCATAGGAGGCTGGCTGGATGAATGGGAGGTGGGCAATGGTTACTACCAATAGAAAAATAATTTGTTTTTCTGCCACAACCATTAATGAGCTGGGGAAGGTCTGTGTATTGGCATGAAGTGTGGCACAGCCACAATGAGATGCCCTCGCACAGTTTTAAGTATTCATTTTTGTTTATGCTTTTGCTGGTACTCCCACCCTGTCAGTAGAAGTACAAATCACTGGGTTTTGATTGCTCAAGTTTCTGACTTTTTACATTGGCTTTTTCTACCCAGATGGTTCATTCTCTCAAACTTATGTCGCTACTTTTTTTTATTGCCCGTCTTTCCCTTTCTTGCCTGCATTTTTCATCTCCCATGAAGCCTCTCAAGTTCTATATAATCAGCACATTTTTCAGGCAAATTCCTTTACATATTTTAATTGCAAATTGTGTTGGGGAATTCTTCTCTCCCAGAAACTAGAGGATTTCTTTTGTGGGGATTATTCTGTAGGCGTCTGTAATTATCAGTGCCTTTGTCCTGTGCAAATTCCATTTGTGTGTTAGCACAAAGGAGTGGCCATTGTTGGCAGAGCTAACAGCTTCAGTCTTCTTCATATAAGGAGTAGGAAGGAAAGAAAATCCTAATGAAACGATTCACAGAGGAAGGATTTTTTTTTTTTTTTAGAAAACTCCCTTAATATTTTGAACCTTTTCTACCTCTATTTTGATTTCTCTTTTCTCTTTTTCCTTTCTGTTTTGTTTTACTTGTATCACAGAGTCTATACAAATAAAATACTTCATTTATTTACTTATATGAGTTGTTTAGGTTAACATTCCCTAATCGTAGAAATTCTAATTTGAAAAGGCCTTTAAAATAAGTATTTGCTAAGCCTATCCTTATAATGCTACAGTTTTCACATTAGGATTTATTGAGCCCTCTTCTAACCAAACTCTTAAAGAACTCTCAGTGTTTACTTATTAATTCAGTCAGTCCTTTCTTTGCTGTGGATAGCAGAACTGTTGCTCATTTATGTAAATCTAACTATTTCAGACTATGACCAACAAGTCTGTTTATATCTAGTAAATACTAGTAAGGAACAGGGAACTGGCCTGTTTTCAATTGCCTCAGCTGAGCCAAGCTATGACTAATTGTAGTATCAATGAAACTCTTGTGTCAGGCCCTTTTGCCCTAAAGCATTATTATTTTTCCCAAGAGAATCACGTACAGCTTTATCTCAAAAAAGAGATAGTTCTAGTTGGAGCCCCTGCTCTTTTCCTTTCTATTTTTCATTCTTCATTTTCTTTTATGATCCTGTTGAAAGTCAATGGATATAAATTCTCTTCCTAAGACCATAACTAGGCAGAATGGGATCTCAACCACTTACCATGCTCTTTTGTCAGTTTTGTTTTACTATAAACATTAGATAATATTGGGTCTTCTGGAAAGTCGTGATTCATTTTTACATAGAAAAATAGCCTATGACTTTCCCAACAACCTGATCATTTCTATTATCTATCTAGCGTATGAAGGAGATTGAACAAGTTTTTGATGCACTTCCAAAAAATTAGAGAAAAAACAATATCCTCTTAGTAAGAAAGTATACCTTACTAATAAATTCTAAAGAGAATCCAGAGTATTAACAAATGAATAATAAGTTATTGAGCCTCTATTGTGCACTTTTTAAAAATTGCTATAGAGCACATACACTCAGTGGAGAGAGAGAAAGTTAGAAAGCACCTCACAGGGGAGAGGCCATGCAGCAATTCCTTCTCTGTTCTCCTTTTGGGATGTTGGAGGGACACACACATACGTGCCCAGTATGTTTTTCAAGCTGCTGGGTCCAGGATTCGAACCATGCAGTCAGCCATATGTTATCCAGCTGCTTTGACCACCATGCTACTAACTGGCCCCATTCAAAAGAATTCTGAAATACTGCCATTAGATTGACAGTCTAGGCTAGCCACGGCAGCATAACACTCCACCATGCTGAACCCACATAGGAGAGTCTTAGGTTCCTGTCCCGAGGTGTCCCTGTACATACTAGGTATACACACCTGCCTTAGGCTAGAGGTAGGTCATAGCATGAGACTGTCTGTGTGTGTGTGTGTGATGGAAGGAATAAACTTAAAAACAAAGAAAGATTGACAGTCTAATTGGGAAATAAGACCAGCACACTTGAGAACAAATATATATATTTGTCAGTATATAGTTTTTCATATGAGGAGTATATTACAACAAAAAATTCTGAAGTAAAATCATCTGGTTTTTTTTTCCTAGTCTAACACAAGAACTATTTGTGATTAATAAATATTACTTTCTAGTGTCTTTATAAAGGCTTTTTCTTTTTTTTTTTTTTTTTTTTCAGAAT